GTGGTGGACAGCGTTCTGGAGCTGGGTGACCAAGTGGAGGAGTCCAATCAGCTGGTGGAGGAGGCACGGGGGGAGAAAGGCCCTGGGAGGCCTGAAACAGGGTCTGGAATCACCAGGTGCGCCCAAAAACACATCATGTGAGTCGTCGTCTGGATGGGTCGTCGTCTTGATGAGTTGACTAAAAATCAGTTGGATGGCAAAGCTCTTCACTTTCTTCATCTAAGAGTCTACCGTGCACAGTGTCTACCGATCTCTGCGTCCGACTCCGCTTGGGACGTGCCAGGCCCGGAAGGAGGTGGACGAGCGGATCAAGATTTGTTGGGCACCTGGAGTGGTGAAGAGTCGCCGAACTGGAAGATTCCAGGTGGTTTATGGTCATCATTAATTTTCATCAGAATACATTGCTAGAATGAACATTCATGATTGTGCAGAAGCTTTCAGAATTGCTATCAGCCAGAAATATACTTCTCAGCCAGGCCCGAAGAAGCATACTTCCTGATCCACATTGGCTTTCACTGAGGCCATGAATATCTCCAGGAGTATCATCTCTCCATGAAGGTGCCCGACATGCTGGTGGCCTTAGATTGGGCACCGACACCCGTAGAAGTTCCAAGGCTGCTGGTTTGATCGGAGGTGGTTTAGAACCCACGGAAATGCCAAACGGCAGCGCTCTTGAGGCTACCCGGTACAGGCAATGAGTGTTCAAGGTGACCTAGGGCGACAGTCGCCATCACTGAAATTCGGTTCCAGGTGCAGGTGGCATTCCAGCTTCCACCTCCTGCTCCTGACAGCATCTTTGCCAATTCCGCCGCTTTAGGCCCAACCACCCCCAAGCAGCGGTGGTCAACTCGAACTTGCAGAAGATCTGCGAACGGCTTCGGGATGCGACCAACAACAAGGCCGGTTCCCGCTGGGTGGAAGACACGACGCAGAGGACGCCTTGGACGCGGAGCGGGTCGGAGGGCCATGAGGAGCTGCTTGGAGTGACGAGGGTGAGCATCTCTTGGGGCAACCAGGGATGCGAAAAACAGCACCTTAATTATCTCAAGATTAGATTGACATGGGAGGACTCCGTACACAAGGGGGGCTGAAATCTGATTTGATTCCAACGCGCGAATTAACGCGCAAATTTCGCTTGGGGTGCTTTTTCTTGCTGGTGATTTCCTTAGACTTCGTTCATAGTTCAGCGTGCAAGCCGTAGCCTGCGTTTTCACGTTCCCAAAAACCGCTCACCCTTGCGGTACGTCAGTGTCCGGTGTTTCTTCAGGATGCCATCATCGTGAAGTGCTCCAACACCCACAAGAAAGCCCTCAAGAAGAAGGAGGCGAGAAGGGTTTGAGGGCATCGCGGGTCGGTCATAGCCACCAATCATCGCGGGTCGGTGCAGGGCGGGCCCACTGCATTGCAAGTAGACAATTGAAAGCACAGGTGGAACACAATGCATCTATCTGGGCACGAGGCGAGTCACACGCTGGCAGGCAATGGCAGTGATGGAGGAGATCTCGGCGAAATTTAAGCAATATGACAAGAACAACGACGGTTTCCTCAGCAAAGCCGAGGTCATCAGTTACTCAAACAAGGACGGGAGGGCGTTGTCTGCTGGTGGAGACTCCCTGAACGATACGTTTGGAGGCTGCTTGAGAGAGGGTTGGTATGTAATCTGAGCCCGCACCAATCTCTTTGTTCTAGCGCCCGCCTCACATTTTTGGTCTTTCATTTGTTAGTTGGGCTGTCTTTTTGCACTAGGCGTGCCAAAACTTCGGGAATCTTGGTGGATGGTTTCTAGAAACTGCGAGTATTTGCGGTAAAAAGGAGATGGACCCCCTTAAGCGTCCAAACTCGGTGCACCTTGGAGCAGGAGTTTGGCTTCAAATTGGGAGATGCGGTTGCCCTTCAGTTGATCAAGGCGCCCCCGAGCGGTTCATGTGAGGCGCTTAAGAGGCCACCGATCACTCAGGGTTCCCTGACGGTTCGTGAACGGCTTCCGATCAAGGCTTCCGGCTTCGAGGCGAACGAATGCTTGCGTCGGTGAACCAGTATCAGTTTCCCACCTTAGGTTTCCTGAAATAATTCGATACTGTGTTTATGTATATAATTGTATATATATATATATATTTATGTTTGTGGTTATGTGTGTGTGACAATAATATAGTATATGTATAAAAACATATCACCCCCCATGTTCTTCCCCGGTTGTTACAAAACATAGAATCCGTGGGGAAACATGTTGATGCTTCCAGCGACTGCAGAAGGCCCTACAGGTTGGCGCCAAGGGCGTGCCGTTCGCTGACTTCCAACGATTGAAGGCGATGGGGTTTTGGATGCGTGAAGACCGGCATCAACACCGAGCGAATCGAATGAGAAAATGGTTGGGTATGATCGAATGGTTGGGATGTGGTCGACCCTGATAGGCCTGGTGAAGAAATTTCGTTTGCTGAAGACCCAAATGCATCTGAAGTGAAGATTAGCCAGCCTCGCCCACTGGCTGAGCAACCCCCTGTGCTGAGATATGAAGAGTTTGGCACCATCAAAAGGCTCAGGTTGGCAGTTACTCGCTTCGTACTCGCTTTGGAGGTAACTGCATGGTTCATGGGAGCATGTCGCCCGGCCGACCCACGGACCGCCTGCCACCGTCCCCAACGCGGTTTGTGGGGAGCCAGGTGCGCATCGGCTGCCTGCGGGAGCGGGTGAAGGATGAGGAGCGAAAGAAGAAGCGCGAGATCCGGGACAAGGAGCTGGAACACCTCAAGGCGCTGGCGGTTTGGGGATGAGCACGGGGTTGGTGGATGTATGAAGGATGAGATCCAGAACCCTCGCTGGCCGAGGTCCCTGCCAGTGAGTCTAGCTTTATAGTGACTAGTGTGGGAGTGTTTGTGGGTTTGCCATTTGCTGTTTCCGGTGTGGGTGGGAGCTTTGTTGAAGCACCCTGCCGAGACTTTGGGACGAATGGTGCGCGCGTCCGACGTGCTGGATCAGGAGCAGTTCAAAAGCGAACTGAAGTCCTTGGACGACACTGAGGAGCTAGACCAGGAGGTGAAGAAGGCTGGGCTGACCTGGACCTGGTCCGTGCTCCGAACAACGCGGACGTGGCTGGGTTAGAGAGAGGGATCAACTCATTCTGTAGCTCAGTAGTATGTGATGGGATTTGGATGGCACGATTCTGGGTCTTTCCTTTCTTGTGGGGGGTGATCGGGTTGAGGAGTTTGAAGGAGCGTGTTGTCCACCGGCGATCAGGTGGAGGAGGCCATGGGCAACATCAAGGTGGGCGGTGATCCATCCCGACACACCATGGTGGGGTGGGCGTTGACCACCTCAGCGTGTGCAGGTGTTTGTGACAACGGGGGTGAAGTTGTGAAAGACCCGCGGGTAAGCCAGGTGAGGTTGCATTGAAGCCTTTGTGGCAAGCCTGCTTGAGTCAATGAGGGGAACACCACAGTCCAGGTTTGGCGTTTGCATGCAACTGCGGGTGGTGGCTTGTGTTGGTTCTTTCGTAGAAACTCCATGAAAGACATATCAAAGTAGCAACCTCAAGCTCAAGTTCCTTCTCGGACCAAGCACAAGGTTATCAACCATTCTAAAGCGACAGGCGAGCACTAGGTGGCGAACTGTCGGTCGAACTGGTGCTGCAGGTCATGAGGCATCAAAAGCATCAACACACCGACTAGTCAACAGACGAGTCAACATACAGTAGTTTATAGTAATTTCAGAATAGATGGCATTGGCACCCCAAGAGGTCTTTTCGATGGGGGTCCATATAATAACCACGACATTGGGGATTGTGCGATTGGCTCTGAAACCACTAGAGACTGTTGTCCAAACCTCCAAACCTGGCAGCTAGCACCCCAGTTGACCCCTTTTGTTGGGGGTTGAGTAGGCCTCGTGCGGTCAAACAGGAGAAGGTGGACACGACGTCCTCGTCGTCCTGCGATCACCGACCGGCGCACACACACACACACACACACACACACGCACTGACAGGTCGAGGCGACGAAGACGCTCGGCAGGGGTGCAAGCAAGTACTGTAGGTGTTTTCTCCTGGCAGTTGTGGGTGTTGGGTCTCCAGGTTTGAGTGGGCTCTAGGGCCTCTAGGGCCTCCAGGCTTCCTTCGCGTCAAACTTGCACAATCAGCCTTGAGCCTTGCTACATCAGCTGTGTGTGGGGGTGGACGTTCTTCATCCATCCGCAGATAGATGCCGTATGAGTTTCAGCCATGGTTAAGTTCAACTGCTAATCACCTCATAGACACAGGGCATACATGCCCTAATGCATTCCTTTGCTGGTCATGCGGATGCCTTCATCCGCGGTCTTAATCACTTCTTCTGAGGGCGGCAGAGCTCAAGAGCAAATATGAAGAGGCGACCGTGTGGCGGCAGGAACTTGTGTGCATGGCGAACTCGTGCTGGGGGGGTTGGTCGCTTGGACGCTTGGGTTCAGGAAACAGGTTTGGGCCACACATATGGGGTACGTGAAGGACCTGCACATTTACAGTAAGCAAGACTGGTGATTTCGTCGGAAAATTTCACTTCTAGACAGGTCAGCCACTGTGTCCTTCCTGGATTCGCCCAAACCAGGGTTTGCGCCGGGGTGCCTCTCTCTCGATTGAAGACCCACGCCCATTCGGTCTTTGTGGCTCAGAGGACATTGGTGTCATTCGGACGCCCCGGCCAGCTAGTGACAACGAGTGCAACTAGTGCCTTTCACAGCCATCCCAGCACTTCCACCCGGGCGGATTTGCGCAATACAGCGGGACCAGCCAGCGGCGTTCTGAGTGCTGTGCCATAGGCAATTCCCGGCCAGAAACTCCCCCAGTCATTAGGAGAACCCTCACAACTTTCAGCCAAGGTCCCAGGTCCTGAGCCCCTTTCCCCTTGTTTGGGGGGGGTATTACCACTTCACGTCGACGCCCCCGGTGAGTGGCCGTCTTCGCCCCGGGGCCGAAGCCCAGCTCCGAACCGGTCGGCGCCACAGTGGATGGCGCCCAGACAACCACCGCCTCCGCCATGGCGACGCCGGCGCAGATCCAGCTGAACCGGCGGCTCACGCGTGCGGAAACACCCGCGGAGATCTTGGAGGTCCGGAAACACCCGCGTTGTGTTGGCTGAGGGAGGTGCGTAGATCACCCGCATCAGCCGTTGTTTGTGTTTTTTGGAAAAGGGGGACTCCCCGCTAATCACATCCAAGAGGTGGAACGATGATGAAAAAGGTAACCTTTGAGATTTTCCAGGGAAACTGAAGAGGTTGAGGTCAGTGGAAACCAGCTGGTCGATGTTGCAAAGGGACGGGAGGCTGGGACGGCTGACAGTGTTCGAACTCAGAGGGTTTGAACTATTTGAAAGATGCGACTCCTTGTTCACTCTTGGATTGCCTTTGGGGTCCGGCTGATCTCGTGGAAAAGCCGCGGAAGGTCTGGATATTTAAAGATGCCGTCGCCGTGTTGTGACCTCCAAGACAAGATGATCGGAAGGAGCTTCGTCACCCACCAATGCTGACGCAGGTTGTTCAGAAGGACTTGCAGCAGTTCAACTTGGTGCCTGGTCTGGGTGGGACTGGCGGCCTTAAACAGGAAGAGGCTGCCTTCAGCCATGTCACCCCATGTCTCACCCAAGTTTGGTATAGTATGGACCTTAGTGCTGTCAACTAGCCTGAAAGAGAAAGAAGAAGGGCCAAACACCATTCGCACTCCACACCGCTGAGGTTAATTGCACCACTGCCCTGCACCGCTATGCCAAAGCGATTTCCCAAGGCCTTTTGGTGCCGGCACGGTCCGCACATGAAACAAGTCCAGCCAGCAGACATCTTTGCCCTCGACCAGCGTGAAGAACAAGAGCTCATGATTCAGAAGTCACCTCCCCACCATGTTTTTTGGCCGTTTTGTCTTTATCGGAGCACCTTTCGTGACGCGGTCCGAAACTGGCTGGCACCAATCCTAGCCCCAAATCAGGACCCGGACCCCCAAATCAGGGTCCAAATGGGCGGGCCCGGGGCTTCCAACTTGGAACGGGTGGACCTTCTGAAGGACCAAAACATCCAGAGCTCCAGACCTTGAAAGCCAACTCCTTGAAATGGCCCCTTGGATCCCAAACCTCCAGCTCCAGACACTCCGCCCGCCCGGTGTGGAGGTGGCTGCGGACCCCACCACGACGCGGGTCAGGAGCGGACCCCCAAACCGCTGGGGCGGTTGCTGCAGCATCTGGCGGAGATGGTCGCCAAAGGGAAGGCGCGTGGGTGGTTTTTTCATGCGGAGGACGGTGCAGATGGAACTAAGTCAGGGCAGTGAAATGCGGAGGGCGGAGCGGCGTTTTCCGCCCCAGCAAGTTCAAGTAGCACGATGGCCAAAAGGATTAAGTATATAGATGTATATAGCTATATAGTTGATAGGCAAAGAGTAGGTTTTGTTTAGAGGGGCCGTTGCCACTCCATGTTGTAGTGGATAACTTTTTGGAGGGCGTCTATTTTGGGCAGAAGCTGTGCCCTCGAGTGGGGTGATCTGAGCTGCAGCAGCTGGCTCCTTTTTTTTTGCCGATGAGATGCTACCAGGCGACCTGGTGGCGCTTTCGGCACCCTAAGTAGGCAGAATTCACTAGTCATGGAGCCTGCCAGAGTCTGCCACAGATCTGCCAACATGGTCTTTTCCCAGTGTGATGGGTGCAGAAACATGTCTGTATGGATGGATGCTTGCTCGGATGTCAGCCAGGTAGGATTCAGTGTCAAAGCTGCCCCGTAGCTCTTAAAAGCAATCTTCCCCTCTCTAAGATCCTGAAGACCTCGGCCATAACTTGTATATACTGTATGTACAGGTAGAACATGTACTGTATGTATATGTATGTATGTATATATATATATATATGTGTGTGTATATGCAACACTGTATATGTGTAGTACCTGTATATGTGCCCCAAGCTGAGCATAACCGATTCGTGGACCGGTCGCATGAATGAAGAACTGGTGAGTGACTTCGAGAGTCCCGAGGGGGGTCAGCATGTGACTCACATGCTTGCGATTCACATGTGCGGCACATGCACCAAAAAACAAAGATCACCGACTCAAAAAAGACCAGGATTGCACCTACTCAAGGACTCCAAGGATTGATCAATGAATCAACAACAATAATTCACTTACTCATGTTGCTTGTATGCTGATCAAGTCCCCTGGTCCTTTGTTCTCTTGGTCCCTTAGTCCCCGGTCCCCTGATCCTTTGTGGCCTATTGTTCCTTTAATCAGGGGTTTCCAAGGGCTGTGGTTTTGCATTGCTTGTGTAACTTCTTCCTGCTTGGGTGTCACTGTTATTGATGATGTGCGCGGAGAGGCACAAATGCCCTCCCCCCCAACCCTCCAAAATGTTCAAACCAGAACCGAAGCCAACCAAACCAATCCAAGCGAAAGCCAGCCCCAAAGCCAGCCCCAACCAAGTCCAAACTCCTTGCTTTCCCCCAAAAAGGCAGCCAAATCGCCAAAACCGAGCCTTTTCAGGGGACACTAGCCGCCCTCACCCCGACGCTTTTCAAGCCAAGACACAAACCATGGGATCAGCCACCGTGGCGGTGCTTGGCATCTCAACACCAACAGGTCAACATAAGAACCAAAAGCAAAGAAGAAGCTGCCAAAACGCCCACACCGTTGGATGATAGATAGGGGCCGCTTGAGGTCCGTTCTGATCGGATGTCCCTTCTGGCCGAGAACGGCACGGCCGGTTCCATTAAAGAGGTGGCTACCACGTCATCCAAACACATTTGGCGGCCACATCCAACAGCAGTGGAATGGATATGCCACCTGGCATTTGCCACGTGCTCCATGCTGATTCTAGATTCTAGATCTCTTGACTCAGGCAATCAGGTGTAGTGTAAAGTTCTTATTCTGGACCAGAAGGCTGGCCTCATGGGATTCTTTCCAGAATGCTTGATGGATGCTTTTAGCTCTGTTTGACCAGTTGGTCTTTCATTGGACTACATATCTCCACTAGCATGGATTACGCTTGTATTGGTTTGTCTCCCTTGGGTGCGCAGGCGGTACCTGCACAGAACTTGGCCAACGCGCTGTGGGCGTCTTGGCTTCTTAGTTGGAAGTTCAAAGAATAACGTGACCTCGGAAGAAGTCGAATGAGTGAATCTCTGTGAAACGGGTAGCGGAACCCGTTTCTGTCTTGTATTTTTGGAGGATCAATGTAGTGCAGGTGGTGGCGAGGTTGAGGCGATGGGTTGGTTGGATTTGGTGGATTTGCTCGCAGTGGTTGACCGAAGCATTTGTTACTCTGCTCTGTGGGCGTGAGACAAGCAGACGCGACAGATGCCAAAAGAACTCTCTTTTTGGTGCGCCTGAGTCGCAGAGTGATGGCGCAACCCCCTAGAATATATATATATAGATATATAGATATATAGATATATAGATACATAGATAGAGGGTTCTTCAGCGGGATTTGTTGAAACTTCCAATGGATGTGTGCTTTGGGCAGGTGGTGCTACTGATTCACAGTTAGTCTCTGGAAACTTCAGCAGTTCCGGTCGGATGGGATGTATCCAGAAGCTATTGGTTCAAGTTTTTTGAGACACTGACCAGCGAGAATCGCCCAGAGCCTCCGGCAAAAAGCCGGGAGGTGCTTTCAGCGCTTGCAAGTCATAGACTCATAGACATAGAGAGGCTTCATGCTGGAAGCTCGCTTGTCAGTGTCCACGAGCGACACCATATGTGGCCCCTTGGGAGGTCAGTTTGGGGGCGATCTGCGCCCGGGGCGATGTAGACCGTGGGATCGTGTTAAGAGATTTGTGGAATGGTGCTGGCATGGAAGTTTCTAAATCAATGAGTCAATGAGGCGTCCTCGAATCAGTGGGTTTTCGTCTTGGTATGCTGCCCATGACCGGCTTTCAGCAGGGATTTTTTGATTGTCGTGGGCACTCTTTTTGGTTGCTACTTCCTGAGGGAGACGTGGGAGGGGCATGGGCTGGATGTCTCAGCGGACCTGAAATTGGTAGATCCGGGTCCTTCTGCAGAATGAGCCAGCGGCAACAAACATGGATCTGTCTATTTTTTTGCCTGAGCTGTCCTCCTTCCTTTCTTTTCAAAGCCCATTGCAATCCAAGGTGAGGCCAAGTGGCTCCCATCAGACTCTGAGTCTGAGGATGACTTTCACACTGACTCCTGCTCACCCGTGGCCGGCCGAAGAGGAAGCCCCTTCATTTCTCGCAATGGAGTGAGGCGCCTGAGGCGTACGGCCGAGGTGATGTTAGAGGAGGTGCGGATCAGAAGCCTGTGGGAGCAGCACAAAGACGACCTTGGCATCCAGTTTCCAGGGGAGAAGCTGCATCCGATCCAGATGGCCGCACACCTAGGAGCGAGCTGGTGCCCCCCAAAAGTCGGAAATGTGAGGGGAACCTTGTTAGTGATGAATTGCTAGTTGTGTTTAGGCCTGGCAGGCGCTTTTTGTGCACACTCCATCACTGAACCTCACTGGCATGCATATCCGTACCCGCCCACTCAGGCTCCAATCACCATCTTGCTCCTTCCACGTAAACACCAACGCTGTAATTCCGCCATCTGGATCATTGTGGTGATGGTGTCAAACGCAAGTCTTGCCTGCTGCGTCCTCATGCTTGCTTGTGTTTGATTATGGTGATGATGGGACCCCCTACACTGTCGCACCGCAAAGTGTGTTTCTGGTGCCACGGAGGTGCCCCACAAGCTTCTTACTACTTGTTACCAGTAGTAATGCCAGGAGCTACCTAGTGGCAATGCCCTTGTTACTAGCAGCAAGGTGCCTTACTACTTCTTGACATGATTGCCCATGCTTCTTGAGTAGTTGATCGGCCACAGGCGAAAGACCACAAGAACTGGCAGAAGACTTCATTCCATCACCGTCCGGGATGTCGTCCGGTCCTATCACTTCCAAGCAACTACTAGCAAGCGACCCCCACAGGTCTCCAGCAGCATGTAAGTCTGCTAAGCTCCCGGCATCAGATGGATCAGGAGACCGGCGCGCGGTGTGCTTCTTGCTGCTCGATGGCGGGGATCCGCACACCAGCCTGCACAGTCGATCGCTCCTGGACCTGGCCACGGACGGTCGATCCGGTGGCGCACAGCAGGCACGACGGGAGTGGAGTTGTTGGCGGATGGCACACGGGAAACAAAACATCCGGTTGTCAGAGCATACCGTTGTCCACGAGGCCTCGTGGCCTCTTCGAACGTTCGGTCTCTTTTCTTTGATGGCCCCCCCTGGCTCCCCAAATAAGACATGCAAGGTCATGAGGGTGGTCTTGGCACGTGGAGGGTCGCAGCTCCGTTTTCGCCAACAATTTTTGGAAGTCGCCTGAGGTCATTTCCCTCTTGAAGCTGCGAGCCGCACCCAACTGGGAAGAACTCTTGCTGGAGCAGTGGGACGAAGATGCCAATTGAGTTCTCTGTGTCTAGACTTCTCACCCAAAGTGTTTCCAACTTTTTGTTGGCAATGTCAATGGCAATGTCACCTTGTGCCATGAATCATGGCATCGTTTGTTATTGCCAGTCACCCTTTGCCATTGTACAGAATCAGTGGTCTGAGTCCATCGAACCTAGCCTCAATTTGTGTTGGGATTCGCCAGGGCTTGCATCAGAATTTTTTGCTTTCTCATCTACGCTCGTTTTCAGTCGCAGTAGCCACCGGTTTTCCGCTTTCTGAAGATTTGAAGCCTGGTGGCTCTGTGACCGTGGAGCTTTGACCATTCGCAGTCGCAAAGCAGGTACGTTCCTGTGCGCCATTTGTGCGCCTGCGCAGCAAACCTTTTAAGAAGCAGATGACCCAAAAGTGCGGCTCATTCAGGAAAGGTCCTCCATAACATGTTATACTAGGATCTCCCCAAACCACACACACACACACACACACCCAAATTTGCACATGGCGGGTTTGTGTTTGCTCCACAGGCATCGATCTTGGCAAGAGCCTGGCTCCTAACCAATTCCTTCCCTGATGTGTAGCAGTTCCAACCCTGGAGCCAATCAGCCAATCTTGGGTTTGGTGGGAGAAAAACCATCGAAAGCTGCCGAGTTCAGCCGCCCTCGAATGCATGGGGCTTAAAACCGGGTTTGTTCCGGTCCCGACTCAAGGCCATTGAACGCCTGGGTCTCACCGCGCAGACGGCTGCGGTCTGTGCGGTCTGCAATGCTGCACGGGAGGCTTTGGCAGAGGAGCGGCAGATGTGGGGCTTCACCGGGCAGAATTTAGCCACTCAGACTGGGCCAGGTTGTGGGCTGAACTGATTGGGAATGCTTCTTGAGACGTTTCAATTGGCAGCCTTTCCCACTCTTTGAGAAGAACCCCAAGCCAGTCCCCAAGCCGCTCAGGCGGGGGCCAAAAGAACAATAAAAGGCCTGGTTCAACCAATTGACGCCCTCCAAAAATTGAGACCCACATGAAAACCTCAGGTCCTGCCAGTTTGGATGGAAAACCGAAAACCTGAGAAGTTTGTCCAAGGTCCAATGATCCATGCTATGCTAATCAGGTCCCAAAGGTCCACAGGTCCATGCAGCTTCTGCAGACCTCCTCTCCGGCTGCAGACCTCGTCCGTCGGGCTCGTGCGGCCCGGCCCGAGGCGAACAGCGCCTGGGCCGTGGCGAAGCTGCTGAATGGGCGCCGCTCGCTGGCCAGGTCGAAGAAAGAAAGGAAGGACAGAACTTGGAACCATGGGAAGAGACATGGTGAAGAGAACTTGGAGGCATTTTAAAAGGCAGCTGCCTTTGGAAGAGACATGGTGAAAAAACGATCTTTTTCGCCTGAAACGAAGGGGGCGTTCTTCTACACAGGGCTGGATTGATGGTGGCTCTTTTGGGATGCTCCAGATCCTGTACCATCGGCCTATGCAGGATGGTGCAGGAGAATTCTTCTGTCACCTGGGCAGCTCCTTTGGCTCAGGGCTCTTCTAAAGGAACCAAACTCTACTCAAAACAGACTTTGGATGGTTGCATCATCGATTGGCCTCCCCACTGCAGCCTTCCGTCTTCCTGGGGCCCAGGGCCCGGGTGCGACCGGCCGAGGCGGCGCGGCGCAGCTTTTGGCCGGTCGCACGCGCGCGCACTTTTTCGAGCCCTTCGTGGCGGCGCTGGACGCCCGCGCGGGCGATCTGAATGGCCAGGACCATGGAGAAAGCATGGTGGTTGTGGTTGTGGTTGTGGTTGTTGTTGTTGGTATTATTTTTACTATTAAAACTGAGTTTTTATATGATTACTTTTTGGGGGGGTGAGGTGAAGCGGAGGAGGTGGATAACAAGCACTTTGATCTGATTTGGTGAAATTCCTCAGGAGGTAGTAATGGGTCATCAGGTGTCACCTGTTGCATGGATCATGTAGACTATTGCCTCCCCATCTGATCTGGATTGTAAGACCTCTTCACAAGGTAGACTCTTGAAAAAGGCATCCCAGACCGCAAAAGAGCTTTTCCAATCTATACGTGTATACAGTCTATACAAGCATGTAAGTATGTTTTTCATTGATCACAATTGCAGGAGCTCTCAATGGCCGCCTGGTCCTTGGGCCACCAAACCGGCGACCCACGAGCTGCTGGCGCGCTGCAACGCCTGGCTGAGGCTTTGGGAAGGACCTTGGCGAAGAGCGTTCGGAGAGGTGGCGGTGCAATTTCAATTGAAGACCGGGATGCCTTGTTGAAGATCTTTTTGTATTTTTTGTGGTTGATGTTTCATTCAAATTCAACAAGGTATGGGTTTAGTTCAGTGGAAACATTCTGATAGGAGGCATGGGAATCTGGGCTGGTCACACTATAGCCAAATCGAACTGGATGAATTTGAGTCTTCTCGCACCGGGAATGGCAGTGACAAGGGTGGGTTGGTCACACCTGTTCAATTTCGTGTTCAGCTTATGAGCTGCAAACTCCAATCCTCCTGCTTGACCTGGTGCCGCAGGTGGCACGGGCCTGGGACGTCCGGAACTTGAGCGCTCAGCAGTTGGCGACACTCAGTTGGGCCTTAGCCCGCTTGGATTGCCGGGACGAGGTGGCTGGGGCAGGTTCACGATGGGTTGACTATTACGATCCAACTCTAAAAGATTATATATATATACATTATCTCTTATATAATAAGAGCCTGTTACACGCATTATTCTAAATTTTGACCTCTTCCCAAGTCTGTTCGCTTCGCATTTCTACCTGTAGCCTCCTGTGTTTTGAGAGTTCACCCTTCGTTTCTACGAGGCCCGGGGGTGTCACCGTTCGGGCGGAGAGGCCATCCTGACCGACCTCGCCAGCGCCGCGGCGTGGCTCGCCTGGGGTACCAGACTGGGACTCGTCGAACTAGGGTCCTTCAACCGAATGCTTTTCGCCTCCTGGTGCAGCAAGATTTCTTCTCCACCTTCTCAGTGGAAGCTTGTGTGCTTTTCTAGGCCCCAGAGGTTTGAAACCAGGCTGGGCGGTGCAAGGGCAGAGATCTTCACACTTGTGGAAGAGAGAGAGAGAGAGAGAGGGGCTGCCTGGAGCCACTTCCCCCCCAGAACGTCGTCCCCACCACGACCAAGAACACCACGGACGTCTACCAGGTCCGATCGTTGATCCTCCTGGACCGTCCGGCGTCCGGACGTTGCCCCCAAGGCCCAGTGTGGCCCGAGGCGGGGGCGTTTTGTGACGAAGCGGCTGGCCGGCGAGCGAAGCCATCAGGATAGAGAGCGGCTGGCCGGCTGGTGTGCTTTCACATAGCCGGGGGTTCTCCCAAAGGAGATGCAGACCATTTTTGATCAATGTTGACTGTTGGGTTTTTGCACACATTTGTCGCTAGAGCCTGAGCTTGATTTGGCCAGTCAAGCCACCTAATATCACCTTAAGGCAATCCTATAGGCGCTCGGCCCCCAACCTTTATACATCAGCTCACCGGGCGCAGGCGAGTTCAATGCCCAAGACCTCTCCAACATCGCCTGGGCCTTCGGCCGACTGCAGCCGCAGGGCGCGCCGGGCGCGCAGGGCGCGCAGCGCGCGCCGGGTGCGTCGGCGTCGGCGTCGGCCGCGGCGCGTGCGAAGCTCCTTCAGCGCCTGCAGAGGGCGGTGCTGCCGCTCCATCGACGACTGGACCTGCGTGAGGGCGTGGGTGGGGGCCAACCCACTGGACTGAAGAGTGTGGCAAGAAGGGTTTTGGCAGAAGGGTGTGGCAAGTCGAGGGCGTCTTCCGAGTCTAGCTGGCTCTTGGCATCTAGGTGGGCCTTCCATCGCAAAACTTGGAAAAGGCTTGGACCTGGGGATTTCAGCGCTGTTGCGCAAGCTCTGGACAGTGCAAGCGTAGGACATGCCCATTCCCACCAGAATCAGCAGAGTTTGAAGAAGGTCGGTGCTGCACTCCCGATGCCCATTCGCGTCCCCCCGACCGTCGCCGAGGCCCTTGTGCCGCGTGACCGAGCCGAAGCGGCCGACGTCCCGCGCGGCGCGCGAGTCCGAGCGGGGCTTCTCGGCCCAGCAGATGGCGGTGCTCGCCTGGTCGCTGGCGCGGCTGGGGGCCGCGCCGGCGACCTTGACCGCGGTGGTGGAGGCCGTGGCGGCTCGGATCTCCGAGCTCTCGCCTCGAGACTTGACGGATGTGGTGTGGGACGCTTGGTCGAAATGGGGCGCGACTGGGTGCGGGTGGAGGGTCTTGGGGGCTGTAGGGGTTGCTGGCAAAGTAGTGGCGGAGAGGGGAGGGCCTGGGTGAATTCATCACGTCAAGTGCTGCCGGAAGACCGTGCGGTCGCCACATGGGGTCCACCACGACTATGTGTCGCCACATGTGTCCGACCCGTCCACGGTCCGAGGCCTTGGGCCATGCGGGGGTGCAGCACTCCGACTTCCTGAAGCAAGCTGGACACTACGCCCAGCTGCGACGGCCAGACTTCGGCACCCAAGAAATGCCTCCTGGACGGCACCAAGGAAGGGGCATCGCTTCGTCCAGAAGTCTTTGCGAGCTTCGGAGACTTAAGTCTGGCGGCTTGTGTCTAGTTATCATTACATATAGTTACCTAAGTGCGCACACCCAAACATATCTTACAGATCTTACAGGAAGAGTCCGCGGAGAAGAGTTATCCTGCATCATTTGAGAGGAATGCACTCTTTGCAGTGGGACATTGGGTTTGGAGTTCTTCCTGGAATCGCAAATCATCAATAATCAAAACAGTGGGATGCTGATGCCCCTGAAGATGTGGGTCAATACCCACCTCCCCCAAAACTGTGGTAGCCATGGTAGGCTAGCATGCCCAGTGCGAGAAGGAGTGGTAGCTTTTGGTGGCTTGGCCCATGAGGTTGCGCTTCTTAGGCGCCTTTCGTCGTGCAGGCTGGGCTGGGGTGTGTTTGTTGCACAGCTTGGCTTGGAAGGTTGGATGCACTTGGTTCAGGAAGAACATGGCTCGCCTGGTAGAAGACAATCACTTGAATTCCCATGAGTTGTGAATGTGTAGCCTGCTTTTGATCCCTTACTTGTGAAGTGGGCAAGCAGGGCAGCACGATCAAATTGCCTTTTCGCTTTTTTTTTTTTTTTGGGGGGGGTGGCCAAGGCCAAGGAGTATAGAATAGCTCTCCGACATGGGTGTTTATGATTACATAGGTCCCCAAGAGGTTTTGAACAGGTGAGACGGAAGCCTTGCCCTGTGACAGGTGGGGATGCCAGCGTCCAGCAAGACTTGGCATCCCAGCAGCAGGAGTTGGTCTACGACTTCCCAGCGATGGGGCTGAAGGCCAGATTCGAGAGGCAGACTGGTAAGGAACAGCAGCTGGAACTTGGTGGTGGTGGGTGCCAAACGACTGCAGTCACCTCTTATATTCAAGCGCAGGATCTGGCTGTTGACCATCGCACTAGTAGAAAACCTAAGACTGCCTCAACCAAGTCAAACATTGGGTGCACGGGTGGGTCGGCCAGTGACTACAGTGGACAAGCGAAGCTTTTTTGACCCGTGTTGCCCGCATGAGTTGATCATGAAGACTCTGCAAAGATGTGTTCTTGGGGGGTTGTTATACCAGTCATGAGGCAGTTGGGCCAGTTTTGCCACACAAGGCGCGCGCGCGCTCTCTCTCTCTCTCTCCCCTCTCTCTCTCTCTCCCCTCTCTCTCTCTCTCACTCTCTCTCTCTCTCTGGGTAATCGCCTCCGTTTTCCCTTCTTGATGGGCTTGATTCACAAGTGTGTTGTAGTCTGTGATAGGTGAATCTCAAGGAACCTCAGAGTTCTCCAATCGCTGCTGGATCCACACCTGCCAGAATTGATCAGAATTGATTTTAAACCTGCAGGAAACCCAGAGTTCTAGGGTCAAAAGCCGTGAAGTTTTTTCCCTTAAGCCAGTCCATTGACGCAGGTGACGCTCCATGCTGAGACCCCTGGGCTCCGCGGCACCGCCGCTGCTGCGCGCCGCCGCACACGTGTGCGGCGGGCGGCGCTGCGGGAGCGAGAGGAGTTGGGCGGTGATCCCCAGCGTGCGGATGGCGGCACCACAGGAGGGTCGGAGGGACGTCCGTTTTGGTTCGTTCCTCCTGGTGCGTTAAAGGTTGGACTCCAGTGATATGAAACGCACCGTTAGACAAGGGACAGGCAGGTCATTGGTTGATTTGTCTGACATTTTTATTCAATTCCATTTTCCTTGATGGGGGTTTGTCGGCTGTTTCATACCTAGCTTAGCATCCAATGCAGATCCCGCCTTTTTCCTTAGATCCTTCAAATGCCTTCAAAGCTGCGGGTTTCTACAGTGGCCCCCAAGTCAACCAACAAAGACAGTCCTCCGGCGGGGAAGCCTTTCCCATCATTTCACATATATGTCTTGAGACCCTCTCACAGATAGCCCTCCTGAGAACTCCTGGCTTAAATTTCTGGGCATCTCACTTTGGGAACTGAGTGGTCCGAGTGTTGAGGGGGTATGGATCAAAATCGAAGCCCCTCTTGAGGAACTCCTTGCAACGTGCTCCCACCTGCCAGGCGTGGCCGTGTGGGAAGCCTCCTTTGTCCTGGCGGAGTGGATCTCGCACCTGAAAGGCTTGGCGTGCTGCCAGGCCTTTCAGGCGGGGGTCTGCGAAGGGTGGGGCCGACCGGCGTGCGTCACCACCACACAAATTCCGAAGTGGCCTCAGTCCACTCGGTGGACTTTCTCCGCTCCTGGCGCCCAGGAGTTGGTGAAGGAGGCCGGCGAGCCGTCGTTGATGAAGAGGCACGCGTGGGTAGAGGATTTCTCGAAAAAAACCACCATGCAAAGAGTCCGTGGAGGAAGAGGGCAGGCCCAAAACTGGGAGAATCCTTAGGAGTCGTTTAGAGTCCACTCCTACTCTCCTCAGCAAGTGTTGACATTTCAATGCCTTCAAACAATAACCTCCTGCTCTCCCGCACGTTGAGCAGTCAAACCTTGACGGTCTCAAAGGAGGTGGGCGCACTGACCCGTGTGACCTCGCTGGTGAATTGTTCGGGCCCCCAGGTGGCGCTCCTGGGGCCACCAGGTGGCTGTCGAGCTGGGCGCTGGGCTGGGGCTGCCGGCCATCGTAGCGGCACACCGGGGCCTACAGCGCGTGGTGGCCACGGAGCGGTTGGGTGGGGAATTTTTCAGACATCAGCCGTTGAGTGAGAGCCAACACACTCCGCAAAGATTTGTATGGATTGCATACTCTCGTTTCTGCATGTGTTTGCGCCGCGGCTTTGTTTAACGCTGGTGCAGGACGGGGATTCCTGTGTCATGAAGCTTTTGCGAGAGAATGTGGAGATCAACCAGCCCGCGTCAGGCAGGCGGTGCAGGGTGGAGTTATATAAGCCCAGAAAGATCTCAGCCGAAGCTTTGTTCAGCCGAAGAATCCGGGTACCGCACGAAAAGTATCGAAACATGATGAAAGCTAGGACGCTAAGCTCTTACCAAACCTCCTTTCGCATGGGATCCTCAAATGCACCGTTCTATATTCGGGAGGAAAAGATCGCTTCGCTCAAACGGGGCCACCGGCTAGCTTGATAGTGAATGACAAGGGGCTGTGACGATGAAAGGTGCAGGTTTTTTCGATTCGGAAGGGCTTCAGTTGCAAGCTCTTCTCAACTCAGGTGCCACCGTAGCGGGCACCTGTATGTTGGCATCCACATAACTGGCCGTCCCCGGGGCTCCAGGACCGAAGCTACGGAAGCAAGTGAGTGCCAAGGCACAAAAAGAACAATCCATTGGAGAGGGTTATCAGCTCTGTGCCAATGGCTTGCAACTCCAGCTAATTGGGAATCATTGTTTCATGCATTGCCAATGTGGAAACCGGGTTATCTCTTCTTGCGTGTAATGTTCTATAGCGAGTGCTTTCCTTGCAACAGTCAATTGAGCAGCTCTTCATGCAACATCGATCATCGGCCAAGAAATCAATGGGCGGAAGATCTAGTGAAAGCAGCCTAGCAAAGCCGGTGGCAGTCGATTCAACCCCTTGCCCCCAAAAACCTAGTCTTTTGGTTAGTGCATACCAGAAATCGTGTCGTTATGTGTCGTTCACCTTTTTCACCTACCAATTGAACGATTCCAGCCGAATCGGCCCTTTTCTTCGTTCCCTCGGTGTTCGGGTGGGGCGGGGTCCACGAACCCGCCCGAAGCTGCCCCACCCGAAACCCGCTCGACAGGTGGCCTCAGTGCTGTGGCCTTGCTCTGGGGTGCTGAGGATCCGGTGCAGCAGCTGCAGCTCACGCAGCCCGCGGACCTGCTCCTGGCGGCGGATGTGGCTGGACTGAAGTCCGGGGAGGACTTTCCTTTTTGGGGTTGGAGGGTGAAGCAACTTGAGTGCGGGGGTCATTCATGCCCCTGCATTCAGTCTGCTGTGAACAGAACTTGGTGGACCACTGGCGCAGGTGCGGACGCTGTGGATGGATGATGGGCGTGCCTTTTCTTTGCCTTTCTAATTTAAGGTGATCTATGCCTCGGCAAAAGAAGCCCTCAACAAGCAGCTGCTGGAGACGATGCTCAAGCTCACCCATCCCGACTCGGCCTCTTGGGCGATGCCTGAGACGATGCCAAGAGGGTCTACGAGTCTTGAAACAACGCGAGAGGGTTCCAAACAACCTTGTTTAGAAGGGGCCGTGTTGGAACATCTTTGACACCCAAATGCCACTTTGAGACTTCCTCTTGTGCATGTAGATACCTTTTTCACCCTTCTTGAACCAGCTTTTGACAACATCGTTGTCCAAATGCAGTGTTACAGTGCTGGCTATCAACGGGAGGAGCCCCTGCTGAAAGACCATGCAGACAGCAGGTGGTCTCAACGCCAACGGCGGTCTCACCGTAAACCCTCCTTCACCAGCGCCGGGGTCCATGAGAACGCACCGAACTTGGAAACATTGGACTCCTTGTTACTAGTAGCGTCCGATCGCTACTAGTAGCGATGCCCTTGTGACTAGTAGCTTCTTGTTACTAGCAGTGATGTTAGGAGCTACTAGTAGCGTCCTTGCTACTGAGTCGATGGGTTCTGCAAGAAATCGACCAACCCCAACCCGTGTGCCACCCATCGCCCGGTATCCAACCGAGGTGGTCATCCTGGGGAACGTGCGTCGCTTCCATCAGGCGCCTCTGGCACCGAATGGAATGACCTGGAGCGGATGCCATTCAACACCTAGACCGGATGGCACCGACTCAACGTTGAACTACCACCTTCCATTCGGCCACCTTCGTGCCCAGAAAACACGGGAGAGAGACCTCGTTCCTTCTGTGCGGCCACCTAGTGCCGACGTGCTCGCCACAGCCGTGCTCGCGTGGCGCGTGTGGCGCGGGTGGCGCGTGCGCGCGCGGCAGCTTCTTCCAAGGTGAAGAAGGGTGAGCAGAAGTTCCTCCAGGAGGCTGAACGACTCTTCCACCGCACCGCGGTGCCCAGCAGCGAGCTGCATCCGGACCGGGTTTCACGGGCACCGGTGAAACGGTGGGCTGACCTTTTTTGAGCCGGCCCTTGGTGTCTATAGAAGGGGAGTGGGCATTTTGGCATGGGCTGTTTTGTGGGAGCCTGCCCCAAGACTGGCAGTGTGCTCATAAGTCAGTGGTTCGATGTTCTAAAATGTCAAGTTAAGCCGCTATGCGATGAGCTAATCAGCTGCACAGGCTACAAGGGCAACTCGATGGGGTCGTCAATACTACCGTTTGACCTTGTTTTTCTTCTTGCGCGACATTCGAAACGGAGGACTTCCAGCGGATGGGCCTTGGAAGCTGTGAAATCCACCTCCTGTGCAGCCGGGGCTGTCAATTGGAGCTGCTGTCCCAAATGGCTGAAAATGAGACTTTGACTTTGGTAGTCGAGATTTAGCTAGATATTCAGCTTGTTAGTCTAGTAGACTCTACAGGGAGCGTGTTGTTTGAACATCTAATTGGCTATTGTGACAGGAAGACCCTCAACTGCTTTCGACCGACGCTTGGTAGTTACTGCGAAGTACCAACCCCTACTGGATAGCTCATCCTACTGGATAGCTTCATTTTGTCGAAGATCTCAACTTCAAAGGTTCCAGCAAAAGCTCCGTGTCTATAGACGTTGTCAAGTAGAGAATGTCAAGGGAAAACCATGGGAAACAATGGGCATCGCAATCTACTCCACGCTTTCCACGGACCGTGCCCGTTACCATAGGCCCCATTGGGGACAAATGGATGAATATGAGCCCATCGACATAGTAGCTGTACAGTGGATTCAGATGGCACAAGTTACCCCAATGTCGGTGGTTTAGACATGGGACTCCCATCTCCCAGACATCGGGGTGCCAGTGAAACCGCTGTTGACCGACCCGGTCGGCACCCGCCGAGGCATCCGCCGGGCGCAGCTCGTGCGGTCTCCGCCCGGTGCCACGTCGAAGGCGAAGACGAAGCAGGCGAAGGGGTGGCGAAGTGATAGAAGTGATGGGAAGAAAGGGGGGGAAGGGAGCAAGAGGCTGAAAGGGGGGTTCATGATCCGCCAAAGGAGGACTGAACACTCGCCAATGATTAGAGTGGTACTCTCTCTGCCAGAAATTCCTGTTCAGAAGGACAGAGGTGAGGAGGAAAGCTTGACTTGACCGACAAGGGGTGGGTTCCCGGGAACCCGGTCATCGATGACCGACCGGTCATCGATGTGTGGCTTACCGTGTGGTGCGTCCTGTAGATTGGGTTGTCTCCACTTTCTGAACTGGATCCGGTGGATGGTGGTGGAGATGTGCAGTTTCAGACTATTTCTGGGAAGGGGGCCTCCAACCATCAATAATGGCAAAGTCGTCATCTATCTATGAATCCAGTCAAGCGGACAGAGACACAATGCGATGGATTGTGATTCACCACCTAATGGATTTTTACTGGGAACGGATTCATTTGCAAGTTCTGGACGCTTTTCAATCTCCAAAATAAGTAAGACCATGAATTCCAAGCACAAAGTGGTTCCCACGTCCACTGCCAATTGCAGTTGCACCTTCATTTTAACATCCACAGAAGATTTCGACACCTGCCTAGACTGTGGGACCAAGATGGGTGCCAGGTCAAGTCTTTGAAGACGTGTGAGTCAGTCCCCTCGGTGGGTGGGTGGGGCCCGGGCGTCTTTTTGTTGGGCGGGTGGAGGTCCTCAACACCCGTCTGGAGGTCCTCGTTTTGACAAGCGGAGCGATGCCCAAATGGAGGATGTTTGAAATCAGACATCAGGAGACACGGTAGTAGCCTTTCCTCCCTTGTCCATTCGCGTCCGTGCCCTCATTTGCAATAGATCAATTCTTTTGGGGCCATATCAGCCAAGTCGTTGTTTTGGGTCTCTGACAGATGTCAACCTATAGAAGCTATGCCAGCTCTGTGACATAAACATGAGCTTTGGTTCGGGGTTTCTTTCACTACCAAATGGCGATCATCACCTGAGGAATGCAGTGGCTTTGTGGCACAAGACTTGCAATCTTTCTTCCACTGTCACTCCAGCATGCAACCCGGAGGCTCACTCTCCGAGGCTGCGGTCCACTGATTCAACCTCGCATGAGCCCCCTTTCTTGATGGAAAGTAGGTAGCACAGAGTTCCTGCATTCCAAAACGCTGGACACCGATAGGGGCCAACCCAACAAAAACACTTGGGTTATTGGGGGCACCGAGAAGTTGTGTCTGCGGTACCTTCACGCCCAGAGCTCCGGGGACTGCTGCTGAGGCCGGAGACTCCGACGGCGCCGAGGAGAGGCCCGGGTGCAGACGCGCGAACGGGGGGTAGACCAGTCGGATGGATGGGGGTCCAACTGGGCCGCGCAGATGGAAGGTCGAATCGGCTTGCAACGACCAGGTCTGGAAGAACCGATTTGAACATGCTTCCTTTGGAAGTCTCGCTGTTGACCAGTTTCCTGGACACACTTGTGGCTCATTGTGGGCCAAGTTGGTGTGCTGTTTCGCTTGGGTTCCTGTTCTAGAAGCACAAAGAATGAGTACCGTGATATGATTACGACCATCGGAAGCTCCGTGCTCCCCTTGTGTGCAGGTTTTCCATGCAAGTAGCAGGCAATGCTGGCTAGTATAGGGCAATGTAGGAACTGCTAGGCTAGATGACTCCAGGAACTACCAAACGGTCATCCTTCCCGAGTGCAACCCTGACATTTCCAGGGTCTCGTTGATGGACGCAGCTGTGTGTCAGACACATGGCAGGAAAACGGCGGCGTTCCAATGGCGAGGACTTGGAACGAAAGAAGCGACGGAAGGTGCGTCGATGATGCTTTTCACGCGTATGGAAGCTGTGCCAGCTCCAACCTTGGAGTTTGGTTTCTAGCGTGTTGTCGCATGTGCACAACAACCCGAACCCTCCAGTAGAAGTTAATAAGAGATGCGGGGCACAATGCAATCCATTGGTGGGATCCCCATCTCGAGACCCGCACCTGTGGTGTTCACATCAGGTGGCTTGCTGGGTTCTGCTTCATTTTCCACTGGATGTTTGTCTATTAAACCCAAGAGGCCCTGCCCGAAGGGTCGCTCCGCTCAGCCCACCCTGTGAACTACAGGCGAGCGCCTTGCCGGCGCGCGGGGACGCCGCGGGCGCGGCGGAGACCCGCGCGCGGAGGAAGCGCAGAGGAATCGGAAGCGCAGAAAAAGGGATGCGCCAGTGGAGCTTGGCGTTGGCTCGAAACGGCGGAAGACCTCCGACGGTAAATGAAAGCCGGGGGAATCCTTAACTTCAGGTGGGGCAGAACCCTGACTCTTAGGTCCAGCAATGCCAAGAAGATGGCTTAGCAAGACTCCAGGAAGGCCGTCTCCCTCCCAATGAGGCGGTTTGGGTGACCCCTCACATCCCGCGCCGTCCAACCCTCCTTGTCGCCAGGCCAGCGGCTTGCTCAAGGGCGCCGAGGAGGCCCTTTCCGAGCTGAAAACCAAGGCCGCCACCGTCCGCCGGATCTCGGGTCCGCCGAGGGAGGATCTCGGATCCCTCGGGTCCGATGGATCGCCCGTGGAGAGGAGGGAGAGCTGCGCGGTCTCTTTTGGGATTCGTGGTCTGATCACCCACAGCGAGATGTGATGTTTTCGATTGTTTTCGTGGTCCCCCCTCCCAAGAAAGGCGAGCCAGGTTCTGTTTTTGTTTTGAAGGACTAGAACTGGTTTGGTAGTAATCGTCCACCACTACCGTAAGGGGTAAAAATTGTCATGATGAGTCATAACTGGACTCTCAGGGTTTTTGAGCGTTTCACATCGATGTCTGACTTGGGCACTTCCATCCACCTACTTACTTTGGGCAAGTGCACCCTTGAGTGCGACACTTGTTTTGAACAAATGCTGGGTTTGGACTGGACAGTCGTTTCACGGATGATGTGGGCGCTGAGCTCCATGGAGGGTGCCCCACCGCTGTAAAGCCCTTTCAAGAGTCAAAGGTCGTGCCACAAGATTCAGGAATCATGTCAACGTCTTGATTTGAGCCAACGATTTGAGGGGAGTCCATGATCCAACGTTCCTGTTCTGCTCGAGCACGTCGCTCCACGGGCCCTCAGTAGGCTTGGGTTGAGACGTCGCTCCACTCGCCAAGTGTGCCGATCCAATGGGCACGGGTTTGGAGAAGCGCATCCCGGGGGCGCATGAGGGCGCAGGATGGATGGTCTCGCATCGAATGGCGCAGGGTCCAAGGCCGTGGTTCCGTCGTTCGGCCCGCCTTACGCGTCCTGAACCCGCGGAGGGACTCGTGTTGCAGCAAAGCTGCGGAGCGACGCCAGGTGAACGAACTGAAGAACGGCCTGCGGCCTCGGTTTGGGTCGGCCGGGGGCAGTTTACCAAGCATCCACCGACTGGAGGTTGGGTTGGGAGGAACCAAGAGACTTGACCATGAGAGTTGAATATCTATATTGTTTAGGGGCTCAGGGGATGGAGTTAGTATATAACTGGAAGGAGTCTTCTTCCGCTTGTCTCCGCCCCTATCTATATGCATCCTGATCTTGCAAATGGTGTATACAGATACGCTCCTTCACACAACCTTACTGTTGTCCCAGAGCAGTCAGAGATGGGGACCTGTGGCGCAGATATATAGATAGAAGGTCTGCGGAGAACCCCTACTTTGAACCATTTGCAACTGCCAGGCTGGGTGGTCCTAAAGTTGATTTCCTTGATGTTTGCCAGTGTTTTTGTTTCTGGTCAAGTTTCTTTCCCTCAAGTCAGGCCTCAAGTCAGGCCTCATGTGGGCATAAGTGGAATGGTTTAAGATTTACACAGTGGCCTTGGGTCGCAGCCCACACTGCTTCCACTCTACCTACGGATGAGCCGGAACTTGAGCCTCCTGAACTCCCTAGTTCAATCTGATTCTAAACTAGGCGTGCCTCAAGGTAGGGAACCTTCCCTGGTAAAGGGAAAAGAGATGAGACCTAGGACCTCTAAAAGTTGAGCCCCCCCAATTCCTCCATGACACTCCCATTGGTTCAGAGAACACACAGGCACACCCACACACACACACACGGCAGGCCCTCCCAGACTCGGCACGATCGGTACGATTGGCACGGCGTGTTGGAGCTCCCAGGTGTCTCAGCTGACCTCAAGGTCTGGTGCTTGATGGAGAGCAAATCGCTGGACGGAACGGGCAGATTCGATTCCCACAGGGGGTGGCAACATGTGGCGACCAGAAGAAGAAGTGGCCGAAGCAATTTGGATCAGGGTCTCAGATCTTGGTCTGTATGAGGTAGGAGGGATTAGGAGGGACTCATTTTTCAGCAACTCCACTGACAGAGTACTTTGTGCAAAGCCATGCGCCAGACGAAATTGATTGAGTGGTTCGCAGTTCACTCATTGCTCAACATCATCTATATAGGTTTTGTTCCATGGACATGGGGGTACGGTATCACATCCTGCTATTGGCTTTTCGTGCTGGTGGACCTCGAACAGCGCTTGGTTTGTGAACGTGCCAGCTGAAAGATGTTTCAAACATAGATGTGACCTTGAGCTCTCCACCACACCCAATACCAACAAACATCCAATACCAACAGCCATCAAGTAAGAGATTGTTTTGGGGGGGGGCCACTGACCGCCAAAGTTCGTGATGGCAGTGACTGGTGCACAGAATGTTCAGAAATCCAATTCCAACTGACTAGGAATTGGTCGTGGTAGTGGTCAGTCCGCCACCAAATCGGTGCCTGGTCAGTCCATCCAGCTAGCTCCAGGACTTTAAGCTTCAAGACTTCGAGCGAAGGGTGACCACCTTGTCTCGCAAGCGCGGGCGCCCGTACTCTTCAGCGGTCGAAGACTAGGTCGGGTGCTCCGCGGGGGCGGGCTCCGCGGGCGGAGCGGGCGGAGCGCGGGCTCCGCTGCCTTTGTGCTTCCGGTTGGGTCATGGTCCGGGATGTACCACTGACCAGTGAATTTCATCGTGATGCATGCACATCCGTCCTGATCCACTTCTCAAGTTGGCATACACAAGAGGAGGGCAAAACGAGACAGTTTGGGTTGTGAAGCACGTTCTCAACCCAAATGCGTCACTCCCACCCTCCAAGCGAAGAATGCCTCATCGGCTCCTGCAAGCTTGGCCATTTGTGCCTGCGTGTCGCTGCATATTACTCTTGTATCAGCCACATTCCGACCTCAAGCAGAATGTCCGCACCCGTCCACTCGATTTCCCCCTAACATCCTGGGAACCCGCCACGAGTGCCGAAAGAAAAACAATCCGGCACGAGCTCTTTCTCAGTCTCGGATCCACTCGGTGTCCGGTGCCCAAGGCAGACGCAGTTGGAGAACAACACCAAGGCGAAGGACCCGCGACCCCCCGCAGACGCGCGGCTTGGGCGGCCGCTTTTGGTTTGTGCGGAGCGACCGGTCGCAGAGAGAGGGGAAGGAATGGACGAGGAGGCATTGGGGCGAAGCGGACGTCGGAAGGCGTTGGGTTGGATTCAAGGTCCCAACGTTCAAATCGGGAGGATTAATTTTTATTCTTAAATTTGTGTGTTGTTCATATTGCCATGCCAGTGAAGCGACTGGGTGACCATACGGCTTTAGCAAAGTGCAAACAAAGTTGTTCATATTTGTCAATGTTTTGTTTTTTTGAAGCATTTGGAGGGGTCATCTGGGGTGACAGGATCCTCCATTTTGGAGGGGACACGGTCACACGAACCAGGTGACGAGTTACTCGTCACCGTGAGTAACTCGTCACCGTTTGGCCCAACAGGGCTCAAATTTGGATGTCCACCAAGTGGGAGAGCCGCAGGGCGTGGATGATGGATGTCCTTTTTTTTCTAGAAGAGACTGGAATGACATCTTCTGAAGGATGGGTTGGGATTCCATGCATTCCGCTTTAAGACGCTGGACGATGGAACAGTTACCGCCGAAGAATTGGATGTCCAAGAGCTTTCTCCCCCCCGAAACCTCCGCAGAACGACCCGAGTTCTCCGCAGAGTTCTGCGAGTCCCGCGTGTTGTGCACCGACTTCTTACAACATGACGGACTTCGTCCGTTGTAGCGGTCAGACTTCGGCTGTGTGGACTAGGGACGGGCGGTCCCATGCATGTTGGACGCGCCGAGATGCTGCCTGCTTGACACCCAAGAGGTGTTGAGAGCAAGGATCATGGGAGAGGCAACGGTTTATGGAATTATGGAAGCGAACCATCCACTTACCCAGTCTCCACTGAGAGAGAGAGAGAGGGGGCCGTACACGCGGCCATCGCAGCCATGGCAACAACCCCTTCTGCCACAGCAGCAGTTCTTTTCCAAGCGTTCCAACCTTCACCACACAACAAGTTTTCAAGCTTGTGTTTGATATGATATAAGGGGTTCCCAGATCCGATAGGACACATTCGTAGAGGAATCCAATCCTTGGCTTGGAGAATTGCGCCCTGGAAGATCAACATGGAACCTGTGTCCATCTCGCAGGAAGTATATATCCTTTCCCGATTTCTTATGATGTGCATTGATGTAGAAACCTCCATCAGAAGAATTTCCCTTGTCCATTTTCTTTGTCTTCTGGTGCTGTTCTGCCTTGGTGCAGGACTTATTCCGTCTACAGTATGGGTTCCCGGAGTTGTTCTTTAATTACATATAAATTCTATAAAATTGATAGCGGAAAGGGGTTATTTGGCAGAGCACAGCCAGTATGTTCTTTGATTCATGTCACACCACCGAGTGCTTGCTTCAGATGTAAACAAGAAGGTCCTCAGTGATCCATCATCTGAGCGCTGTGCGCTCCGCCTCGCCTCGCACGCGCGGATGCAAGGCAGGCTGAATTGCATCTGTGGGCCAAGCCCCCAAAGCCTTCATCAGCACTGAAAGCCCTCCCCCAAATCACCCTGCTCCCATCACCGATGCTGGGCCCGGTGTTTGGTAGCATCTGCGGCGCGAGCGGCGCTTCTCCCGCAGGAGGCGATGGAAGCGGCCATGGCGGAGAAGAAGATTGTGGTCGGACACCCGCAAAGTGGGTCGTTTTGCTGTTGGGATGGGCATGGGGCGCATGGGGCGCATGGGACGCATGGGACCCATGGGACGCATGGGATGCATGGGACGAAGATGGATGAAGATCATCAATTTCTATGCTTGACCTGGTAACCTGATCATGGAGTGTTTTTTTCTCTTTGGGGGGTTGGTCCATAGCAACATGCGGCAGGCAGGTGCTGGTCGTTTCCGGGTTGGGTATGTATGTGATCCAGGATTCACGGGCGCAAAGCATGGTGAGCTGGCTTTACCGCGTTGAGGCCTTGCTCAAACACCACCAGAAGGCCAAGACTTTGTCTGGGTCTCAGGCATGAGGATCTCGTTCGGCCAGCGTGGGGTTACGCAAGATGGGCAATTGACCGAGGGTTGGTTGGGATTGCGAAGATGGACATGATGGAAGATGGAACCACCCTCCAATACCTTTACATAGGGCGCCATAGAGGCTCAGAATCTTAACAGAGGATATTCTTGTGCTGGGTGCCAGTGAGTTTTCGGGATGCAGAATATTTACAGTAGATGACTTTCTGCGATGGGAAAAGTTGTAACGGGTCAAGAGCTTATTGGACAGCAAGAGGGTAAGAAACTAGAAACTGTAGTGTAGTGGTCTTTCCACCGGTATGCAGACCACACTATCCAGGTCACTGACCACAGATTTTTGAGAGGACAATATGTCCATCTATGCCCCAAGTTCTGCTGAAGAGAGAAAGCACTTCCTGCGGGTTCCGAGCCCTCGGCAGCCTGAGGGATGTTGACAAAGGATGCCTTCGAATCATTCGAGGGCCCAAGGAGTGGCGAATGGACACCCCTTTAGAGGTGAAAAGGGGCTATTGATGGACGCCCCAAAACAGGGGCCCTGGTGTTTGCTCTGCTTTTTGTAGACTGCCACCCACCCACCAAGGCTCCAAAAACGAATGCTTTGCGAAAGATCTGAGCTTTGCTCCTACGCGCGTGGACCAGGTCGCTTTCGGACGTCGAACGTGGATGTCGCATCGCCCAGGACGACGGAGGACCTCGTGAAGGAAATGGCCAAGGAGGAGGATCAAATCAGCAAGGCAACTGCCTTTGGCGAGGGAGGGCAAATGGTGAGAAAGAGGGTGACGAGTGGGTCAACTAAACAAAGGTAGGGCTCGTGTTCCAAGGCATGCCTAAGACAAGGTGCCACGCCGAAGTATGGAACCCCTGCTGATTTACTCGTTGGGAATGGGTGAAGCTCTGTGGAAACCTTCATGGGGGTGTGGGTAGCGGATTGGTGTGAAAGAGAGTGTAGGAGAGTGACCGTCAGCATAAGCGGTGTAGGAGAGTGACAGTCATGTCCCCTTTTCCACTCACGTTATTCAAGCCACTACCACCCTAGTAACACCCTAGCTAAATAAGAGAGAGAGAGAGAGAGAACGCGAGGCCCAACCTTTCTTTCTAGCGGGTCGTTTTTGAATGGAAGGCCAGTTGCCCAACAGGAGGCTCAAGTGGAATCGTGGCATGTCAGACTGAAGATTCGGAGGGTGGAGAGTAATGATATCACTCACTCATGGTAGGAGACTCGGCTGTGAGTCGCAACCTAGAGACGCCCCAAACCTTCTTTGTAATCTATTCTGATTTATATATTTCGTGGATTATTGGTTCGTCGGAACTCAAGGGTTTTCAGAACCTTAAGCAGTGGACCGCATTTGCGTGACGGGAATAAGGCTTTTGGGGAGCTGGACATCAATTTCCGTTTGGGAATTGAAACTTTACAATTTACGGGTATCCTACAGGAAAGGATCCATCCAGGTGAGTCAAACGTGGTCTGCCACTAAATGTTCTGGATTGAGTGAGCAGTAAAAGCCAGATCCTTCGAGGCCATATGTTTGCTCTGGACGGAGGGACTCACTACAATACTCTCAAGACAGAATTTGAATCTGTAAAGGTCTTCCAAGACTTCCATGCAAACTTCCCTGGATTCCTACTACCTATCAATGATATTTGAATCAGGGGAGTCTGAGTCTGAGTCCTATCTAACTCGGGCTTAAAGTGGAGTTCCGACGAACTCCGACGAACTTGGCCTTAAAACTCTTAAATTTCTTGTTTTTTCAAGTTTTTGCTCGTGATAATTGGCTGTTGGTGTGGCCAAAACCACCTGAAAATAGCTCTGAACAAGCAAGTTTGGTGTATTTTCTAATGAAAATTGCACCTGCGCCGCGTCTATTCTGTTCCTTTTGGTGGTCAACCAAGGTCCCCTGGTGCCATGACCCACAGCCCATGGTTGCTTTCGCATCGTCTCGTCTGTGCATCATTCACTCACCGCTGCCGAGCTCGCGAACTCGCCAGGATGCTTTCGTGGCCTTCGTCGGTGCGTGTGAGAAGGACGACGGAGTTGAGGTGACCGAGGAGGAGATAGGCCCGGTGTTTGGGGATCCAAACCACGGCTGGTGCCTTCTTGGGGGGTTTTGGTCGAAAGGAGGGCGTGAGCCAGCGGGAATGTTTTTTTCTGGTGCGTGCGGAGATCTATCCCGGCTAGAAATAATCTGGAATTGATGATCCTTGGGACATCTGGGGAGAAGTAAGAACAGACGTGGATTTGGTCGATGTGCCTTAATTACTTGGCAACGTTGTATTTTTGGCGGTGAATTTCCCTCAGACCTCGCCCGGATTGGGCTTCCGACCATTAATTTGGTCCCCTCCTTCAATGTGTTGTGTCGGTGGGAGCAGTGAACTCTTTTGCGGGGATCTTTTTCGAGCAGTTGGGGCCGCTGGGAGAAGTCCTTGAAGGAGTATCGTAACGTAAAGGTCCGTCCTGCGGGTGTGCGTGGCCCAACATCCGTGAGCTGGCTTGGAGTCTGTGCACCCGGCTGGAGCTTCCGTGACTGAAATTCCAATGTGGTGGCCGGTATCTTTTGGCCCGTGCCCCGCAACGGGCTTTCCAAGGGCACTTGACGAATTTGCCAGGCACCTTCTTTGAAGCCCAGGATGTCGAGAAAGAGGACTTCCTCACGAAGGAGAGACGAGTTTCGAAGGTATCAGCTTATCAGCTGAAACGCAGCATCCCACGGCGCTGCAGCAAACGCACACTGTGTTGGTCTTACGTAGAAACTTCCCTAAGGTGTACGGAAACGGGCCCCGTCAAGACTGTAGCCTGTGCACTTTGCTGTGGCAGGAGCACATGTTGATGCTCGTCCGCACGCTGAAGAAGGTGCTGCCAAGTCTCATTCAGTCCAACAGAACACTGTCATGTCATAGCTGTTGGCCATACTCTTGATGCCCTCTCTCTCCCTCTCTAGACTCTAGGATTTGGTCCGAAGCCCCAGCCGCTAGCCCCTTCCAAAATGACGGCCAACCCTTCCCAGGGCTTCCCACCAAGCAGGGAATACCCTTTGACTCGTACCCCGTGGCGATCCAAGCCCCTCAATCCCCTCTTCCACCCAAACCTGCTGGCGCCATATCCAGCCGTGCCACCACCCGCTGACCCGCCGATCGTGGCAGGTGGTGAAGGAAACCACCATGACCGAGGGTCTGGACATCAGCGAGAGCACCGTGATGACGAAGCTCGAGGCGACGGGACTGCTCCCAGAGTCGGCCACTAACGCTTGGGACTGCTGAGATGCAGGTGATTGATTGCAGAGCCTCACTCATATCATGGGGAGTTAGACTCAGAATCAAGAGTCTGCGTTATGCATTCTGGGCCGTATGGTTGGATTTCACCTTCCGGAGCATTTCGGGGCCATCGATTGGGCACCTAAGTTCCGGGCGAAAAAGCCACTTCTCAAGAGAAGCCTTTCGCCCTTTTCCAGGTTCATCGAAAGCTATCCTTGGATCATCAGATCGATCCACCTGGCAGATCTCTCAAAATCCGATCTTCCCACCTGTGGTTTCGTGCCACTTCGCCGCGGGTTCGCCCCCCCCCTCCCAGGTGGGCGAAGTGGTCGAGCTCTTGAGTGAGCCGAGCGAGCAAGGCCCCCCCTCACGTCGCCGGACGCCGGAAGAAGCTCATGCCGAAACCAAGCCGAAGAACAGGTAGTGTGGACTCTCATCCAATTTTGGTTGGTCTATTTTGTAGACACATGATACATGCTGTTAAATCTTTCCCTCAGGGGAGACCTGCATGAATCAAGGGGCTTAAGCTTGAAAATGCCGCAGTGGACTCGCCAGCCTCATCTCTCTCACGGAGCACAGGCAGCGGTGAAAGCATCACTGGAGAGTGGGTGAAATATTCGGAGTTGGTCCTCGTTCCTGCTCAATTTGTTGGACGGGGCCTGCCCCCCTCAACCAACGCCGCGTGGCAGGTGACATGCTCCGGGCGCGGTGCCGGAGGATGAGAGACGACACGGAGGGCTGGGTAGCGAGCTGAGTGGCTGGGGCGGGAGGTGAAGCGACCTGGAGGACGGTTCGTAGGCGTAGGCTGGGTGAGCGGCGGGGTGAGGAGCTCATTCCAATGTCCAATCTGCTAGTGGCTGCTAGTCTTATGCTGGGACTCTGTGATCTATCACTATTGGTGGGAGGCCTACCGCTTTTCCACCCCAATCTGCACTGGTTGAGCACAACCTGGGACAGGCCGCTCCCGGCAGGAGAGGGGAGATCACCGGTTTCCTGAGACATGAAGGAGGGGTCGAAGGCTGACCGACATGACCGACATGACCGGTGCAACAGGCAATCTGTGTTTTTTGGTCTTCCATCATGAATCATGCTCCACCGTTGTCATTGAATTCAACCTGTATGACGCTGTAGTGTTCACACCAGCCTGGAGCTGCTTTGACCAGCTCCTGCAGCCCCGATTGTCCCGCCCAGGTGACGATCAAGGGCAACCAGGGCTCAGCCGGGGCAGCCCAGAGCAGGTCGGAATGCTTAAGCGCCAGCTCAGCTGTCGTACCTAACCTACGGGTACGCCTACAGTGCCTACAGCAGAGTTTAAGGCAATTAAGGGCCAAGGGCTGTCAACCTGGGTTGACCGCCCCGTTCAAGAAAGACTTGGGACTCTTCAGGGCGTGCACACCATAGAAGAATCCCATTGAAAGATGGTCTCATCACATGCACATGTGGCCTTCCTTTGGGACATGTTCGCATCTGGCCAGTCAGAAACCTTCACTGAAGCTCGTGATGCTCGCAGGGACCAGCCCAGCGACGGTTTTCAGGTCCCTGGCGGAGTGATCCCGGCCGCCTGAGTCGCGTTTGCTTTGACCCGATGTTGTGGCCCCCTTTGCGGCACCTGTGCTTGGGGAGATTCGTGGGGGTTTAGGATCTACAAGATCAACCTGCAGTGGGATCCAATCTGGGATCTTCCCATCTGGCCGCCCACAAGCACACACCCCGCCGACCCAGGCCTATCTGGCTGATGGCGGCCTTGTGTGGAGGGTCCTCAAGGACTGGTGCTGACACACTGAGATGGCCGCCGGGCCAACATGGAACCGAACAACCCGCTCTTCAGCGCGAACGGCTTGCAATTCAAGACATTTGGCCACGTGCGCAAGCCTGTCTCGACTGGTTGGTTCGCTGTGTTCGCTTCTGTATGTCCCATGGTCCTTTCGTCGGTGGTTCTTCACAGAAACGCCTTCCGTTCGCATCTTCTCCCATCGCGGGCAGGAGACGCTCCTCACCGAAAGCTTCGATCTGGACGATGACTCCGCCTCGGCCCGGGCTCCTGCCTTCGCCGGCCGAGGTCGGGGCTCCCCTCAACCGGTTCCGGTCCAAACCGCCGGAGGTTCCCCGAGGCTCTTCGCCGTTTCGAGGGGGGAGGGCGCCGTTTCGGCGCCCAAGGGGAGCGTCAAAAACACGGAAGAGTCGAGCCGCCACCAAGGCTGGCCATCGCAGGAACTCCAAGGCTTTGAACATCTCACACTTTTGTGTCCCTCCACCGCAGCACCACTTAGGAAGAGGTGCGCAAGCTCCGGCTGAATGAGCTCGTCGAGGTCCGGGAGTGGATGAGAAAGGATGAGAAGCTTGGGAAGCCCAGACAGAGGGTGAGAGAGAGAGAGAGAGGGAGAGAGAGAGAGAGAGAGCAGGGTTGGCTCAAGCCATCTTCGCTCAAGTGTCACTTCCTGGAAGGGGGGAGCCATGGAAATTCAAGCACTCTCTGGTGCCACTGTCACCCAGCTTCATGAGGAGGAACTCAGCTGCATGGTCGAGAGTGGACAATCTGTAAAGGATCTGAAAAAAGTTCCTAGCCAGTCGGATTGGATACTCGAGATTTCGACAAAGACTTTTCAGTGAAGACATGGGCGAGCTACAGGATGATATGCCTGTCAGACAGCTACCAAGTTTGCAGTTGGTAGTCTTGGACTTCTGTGCGCCTGAGGAGGCCAAGTGGAAGGCACTACTCCATGCGTGTGAGAACAATCGAGTTGTTGAAGTTGAACAGTTGCTTCAGAAACCACTGGATCCCAATAGGAGAGGCCCAAGCCCTCAACCTGAATGGCCTATGTTTTCCGCTGCGGCACTGGGCTATTTGGAAGTGGTACGAATGTTGCTCGAGGCTGGAGCTGAGAAGAATGCAGCAACTCAAGATGGGGAAACCGCCTTGATGGCTGCAGCTCGGGATGGCCACTTGGAAGTGGTGCAGGTGTTGCTCGAGGCTGGAGCTGACAAGAATGCATCAACTCAAGACGAGGAAACTGCCTTGACAGCTGCAGCTCGGGGTGGCCACTTGGACGTGGTACGAATGTTGCTGGAGGCTGAAGCTGAGAAGAATGCTGCAAAGCAAAATGGGGCAACCGCCTTGATGGCTGCAGCTCGGCGTGGCCACTTGAAAGTGGTGCAGGTCTTGCTCGATGCCGGGGCTGACAAGAATCCTGCAAAGCAAAATGGGGCAACCGCCTTGATGCTTGCAGCTCGGCATGGCCACTTGGAAGTGGTGCAGGTGTTGCTCGATGCCGGAGCTGACAAGAATCCTGCAAAGCAAAATGGGCCAATGTTGACTGCAGCTCTGCGTGGCGACTTGAAAGTGGTGCAGGTGTTGCTCGAGGCTGGAGCTGACAAGAATGCAGCAACGCAAGACGGGACAACCGCCTTGACAGCTGCAGCTCGGGGTGGCCACTTGGAAGTGGTACGAATGTTGCTCGAGGCTGGAGCTGAGAAGAATGCAGCAACTCAAGATGGGGAAACCGCCTTGATGGCTGCAGCTCGAGACGGCCACTTGGAAGTGGTGCAGGTGTTGCTCAAGGCTGGAGCTGACAAGAATGCAGCAACTCAAGACGAGGAAACCGCCTGCCCGTGGTCCCTTCCATCGATCATGTGCTGTGGGTCTGCCGGCTTTTCGCTGCGCTGCGGGTGCTACCGCGTCCGGTTTCCGACTTTACTGCACGTTTAGGGTGGGGCCCTGGGATGACTCTCGACTCTTGTTTGGACCTTCTTCAACAAATGGGAAACATCCGACACGAAGAGCACACGTTACGGCGTAGAACCCTGCAGGCAGCTTGTACTCTCCCTGAGGACTCTGCCTAGCGAGTGGCTTTGCGTGTCCTTAACCCGCGACAGGTTGGGACACTCGCAGCGCTACCCCCCCCAGCTGCAGCTCGGGGTGGCCACTTGGAAGTGGTACGAATGTTGCTCGAGGCTGAAGCTGAGAAGAATGCTGCAAAGCATAATGGGGCAATCGCCCTGATGGCTGCAGCTCGGCGTGGCCACTTGGAAGTGGTGCAGGTGTTGCTCGATGCCGGAGCTGACAAGAATCCTGCAAAGCAAAATGGGGCCTTGATGCTTGCAGCTCGGCATGGCCACTTGGAAGTGGTGCAGGTGTTGCTCGAGGCTGGAGCTGACAAGAATGCAGCAAC